AACAGCAATGTCATCCAATGCCAGACCCAGTTCAGCCAGTTGCGCCTGGATACGAAGGCCAAAGGAAGGAATAGCAGTCTGTCTGTTCCGAAAGAGCATTGCCCACCGAGGAAGACAAACACAATCCCAGGTGGGATGCCGTGGTAAGGATCGAAGCTTGGCAGCATATTGTAAAGAAAGTTGCAAACGATGGAGGTGAAGAGGAAGTTCGTGGGACTCAGTGTACAAACTCTGGACTGGAGAAGTGTGAAACGTCCCAGTACAGAGCCAAAGCCCCAAATGGTAAATGGGGTCCAGCATCTTCAAGGTCGAGGTCCTGGTAGAACCATAGACCAAAGACCCATAGTCCAGTTTGGATCGAATCAGTGGACGATAGATCCTGAGCATAGAACATCGATCCACACCCCAAGAGGTGGAAGAGAGGACATGGAGGATGTTCAAAGCCCTTGCACACTTAACACGTAGCTGCTTGATGTGCGGAATGAAGCTAAGCTTATGGTCAAAGATAAGCCCCTCAGGGACCACACGAATAACTACATTGCCGAGATGGAGCTCAAGATTGGGGTGGAGACCCCGTTGGCGGCAAAAATGCATGCAAACGGTTTTGGAAAAAGAAAATTTAAAACCGTTTGCAGTGGTCCATGTCAACAACCGATTGAGGGCAGTCTAAAGCTGCCACTCAATAAACCTCATGTTCGACAACTGACACGAGATGTGGAAGTCATCAACATTAAGCCTATTTGCAACAGTCAGAGGAAGATTATTAGTGATAGCATTAATCTTAACATTAAAAGTGTGACACTCCAGACACAGTCCTGAGGGACTCCAAGTTCCTGTGGAAAGGAACGGGAAAGAGTTGAACCCACACAGACTTGGAATCGCCTGTCCAGTAAAAAGTTGTGAATAAAAATGGGTGGATGGCCACGCAACCCATAGGAGTGGAGGTCCTGCAAAATTCATACCCTGGGGGGCCACCCCAAGGCTACCCGTCTACAGGAATTCAAGGCCAAAGTGGTGTGTTGCAGTGCCCCGGACACCACTCAACC